ACTTTGTGTGCTTTTTTTTTTTCTCAAGATCGTTTTGGTTATTTGGGGTCTTTTGTGATTTCATGTGAATTTAAGGACAGTTTTCTTTTTGTATTCCTGTAAAAAATAATGACATTTTGATAGGGTTTGCATTGAATGCGTAGATCACTTTGAGTAGTAAGGACATTTTCTCAATATTAATTCTTCCAATCTATAAACACAGGACACCTTTATATTTATTTGTGTTTTCTTCCATTCCTTTTGTCAGTATTTTAAATAATTTTCAGTATATAGGTCTTCTACTTTCTTGGTTAAATTTATATCCAACTATTTTACTTTTTTTGCTGCTGTGGTAAGTTGGCTTGCTTTGTTATTTTCCTTTTCTGCAGATAGTTCATTATCAGTACATGGAAACACTAATGATTTTTATATGTTGATTTTATATTCTACAACTTTACTAAATTCATTTATCACTTCTAACAGTTTTTTGGTGGAGTTTTTAGAGTATTCTATAGATGAGATCATGTCATCAGCAAATAAAGACAATTGTACTTGTTTGCTACTAATATTCTTCTTATTTCTTTCTCTTGCTTAATGGCTCTGGCTAGGATTTCCAGTACTATGATGAAAACAAGTGGTTGAGAGTGCACATTCTTGATTGTTAATCTGATCTTAGAGGAAAAGATTTCAACTTTTCACAATTAAGTATGATGTTAGCTATAGGTTTGTCATATATGGCCTTTATTGTATTGAGGTACATTCCCTCTATGCTTAATTGGTTGAGGGTTTTTATTATGAAGGGTGTTAAATTTTGTCAAATGTTTTTTCTGCATTGATTGAGATACTCACATAGTTTTTATCTTTCATTTTATTAATGTGGTCTATCATATTTATTGATTTGTGCATGTTGAATCATCCTTGCATCCCAGAGATAAATCCTACTTAATCATGATGAATGATCCTGTTAAAGTCTGATTAATTTTGGTTTGCTAATATTTCAGTGTGGATTTTTGCATCTGTATTTTTCAGGGATACTGGCCTGTAATTTTCTTATAATTCTCATCTCTGGCTTTGGTATCAGAGTGATGCTGGCTTCATAAAATTAGCTTGGAAGTATTCCCACCATTTTGTTTGTTTTGAAGAGTTTGAGAAATATTGGTGTTAGTTCTTCTTTAAATGTTTTGTAGAATGCAACGGTGAAGCTATCTGGAATGGAATTTTCCTTGATGGAAGATGTCTTATTACTGATTCAGTCTCCTTATTCATTACTGTCTGTTTAGATTTTCTATTTCTTTATAATCCAATCTTGGTAGGTTGTACGTGTCTAGGAATATATCTGTTTCTTTTAGATTATTCATTTTATTGGCATATAATTGTTCATAGCAGTTTCTTATAATTATTTGTATTTTTGCGATATTGGTTGTAAAGTCTCCTCTTTTGTCTGATTTTATCTATTTGAGTTTTCTCTTTTTTCTTAGTCTAGCTAAGAGTGTTGATCTTCTTTTTAGCTTTTCAATAAACCAACTCTTAGTTTTATTCATTTCTTCTTATTGTTTTTCCAACCTCGATTTCATTTATTTCTCCTTCGATCTTTGTTATTTCCTTTCTTCTGCAAACTGTGAGCTTAATTTTTTACCCTTTTTCTAGCATCTTTAAGTGTATCATTAGATCGTTTATTTGAAATCTTTCCTCTAATACAGGCATTCATTGCTATACATTTCCTTCAGAACTGCATTTGCTGCATCCCGCATGTTTTAGTACATCATATTTTCATTTTTCTTTGTCTCAAGATATTTTTTAACTTCCTTTTTATTTTCTCTTTATCCCATTTGTTGTTTAGGAGCATTTTGTTTCATTCCTGCATATGTGCATATTTCCCAAGATATTTTCTGTTTTTAGATTTCTACCTTTATGCCTTTGTGACCCAATTTTCTTAAAATTGTTAAGACTTACCTTGCAGCTGAACATTTCTTTCCTGGGAAATGTTCTGTGTGAACTTGAGAAGGATGTGTATTTGGCTGCTGTTGGATAGAATGTTCTGTATGTGTCTGTTAAGTCAATTTGGTCAAAAGTATAATTCAAAACCAATTTTTGAAGTCTTTTTTTTTTAATTAAATGAGCTGTCCATGGTTGAAATTAAGGTATCGAGTTCCTCACTATTATTACATTGCAGTCTATCTCTTTCTTCATTTAATAATTGCCTTATAAATTTTTCACTTTGTTTGTGAATTGTTTTTAAAATTTATTTTATTTTCTATACATATTTTCTTGGAGTTCCCTAAACTCTTTAAGAGGATTACTCTGGAGTTTTGTCAGTCATTTTGTAGATCTTTACTTCTTCAGGTTTCGTTACGGTAACTTTATTAGTTTCTTTTGGTGGTGTCCTTTTTCCTTGATTTTTCATCATCATCAGTCCTTGCATTGGTGCCTGTGTAACTGAGGAAGCAGCCACCTCTTTTGGTCTTTGTAGGTGTTGTTTGGTGGTAGCAGACCTTCACTATTTGGTCTAGCCTGGGATTCGGATGGGATAGTTGGTAGCAATCCCAGATAAGCAGACTTTGGTGCTGAGTTTTTTAGTTGGGCTTGGCTGCTTTCTGCGCTCTGAGGTAAAATGAAATGCTTGCTGTGCTTCATGTTCCAGTGAGATCTTTCTGAACCCTATGGTCAGGTTGAGTCACTGGCTGGGCTCTGTGATTGCCTCTGATCAGGCAAAGTTGCAGACTGGTCTTCCCAAATAGTCTGGAACTTTGCCTGATCAGAAGTAGTCACAGAGCAATAGCCTTATGCCTTCCATTCATCCACAACATGAAGGCATTGCTTAATTAACTAAAAGGGCACCCAAATGCCCTACATCTGGCTGAGAAATATTGTTGTTAGAATGTGTAGTTGGGTAGGACAACATGCTAGGCTTCTGAGGCAAAGTGAGTTATCTGGGGTTGCTGTTCAGCAATTTGGGATGGGCGGGGGCAGAAGCTAGGCTACACAGATGTGTGTGGGCTTGGTCTTGCCTCTGGGACAGGCATAACCTTAAGCAGAGCATTGAGGCTTGATTGGGTTTCCACTCATCTTTTGGCCCTGGGTGAGGCCAGCTGCCCCCCCGCAAGTAATTGCTGACCTGTGCTTGCCTCTTGGCCTAAGGAAGACTGTGGGAAAGTGCTGGGGTCTGGCTTGGAGATTAAATTATAATAACCAATAATTAATAATATAATTATAATAATTATATCATTAATTAACATATTTAATGACTGAAAAGTCAGAATTAAAATGAGTTCCTTATTATTTTTCCACTAACTTTTTCTAGTTGTAGAAATGTAATGAAAAAATAGTGTTTGCATAAACAGACTTCAACTTAAATAAATAATAGTTACGTTTAATGTAGCAGCATTTTTACAGTCTTCAGCTAAGCAAATCTTGCAACAAATCAAATTATAATGAAGGGCAGTAGGAAAGTCTCTTCTGTACTGGCCTAGGGCACCAAGATTTGAGTTTTGACGACATTGTTGTTATCTTCTGTTAGTAGGCCTTGTGCCTTCAGTGACATTTCCATTGGTGGTTTAAGACAATCTCACTCATGCCACATTAGCTTGCCACACTTCTGACATGGCTGCTGGGTTGCTTTTAAGCCCAATGTTGCATGGAAGGTTTTTGTTTGTTTTAGAGATAGGATCTTATTCTGCTGCCTAGGCTGGAGTGCAGTGGTGTAATAGCAGCTCACTGCCGTCTCGGACTTTGGGCTCAAGTGATCCTCCAGCCTCAGCATCTCAAGTAGTTGGGACTACAGGCACACACCACTGCACCCAGCTAATTTGAAAAATTTATTTTTGTGGAGAAGGAGTTTCACTATGTTGCTCAGGCTGGTTTCAAACTTATGGTTTCAACCAATCCTCCTGCCTTGGCCTTCCAAAATGCTGGGATTACAGGTGTGAGCCATCATGCCAACCACAGAGAAGTTATTTTTATTTTTATTTCTATTTTTTTGGAGATGGAGTCTTTCTCTCTGTCACACAGGCTGGAGTGCAGTGGAGCAATCTTGGGTCACTGCAACCTCCACCTCCCAGGTTTAAGTGATTCTCATGCCTCAGCCTCTCAAGTAGCTGGGATTATAGGCGTGCACCACCACACCCAGCTAATTTTTGCATCTTTAGTAGAGCTGGGGTTTCACCATGTTGACCAGGCTGGTCTCGAACTCCTGACCTCAGGTGATCCCCCTGCGTTGGCGTCCCAAAGTCCTGGGATTACAGGTGTGAGCCCAACCACAAGGACATTTTGTACCTATACCTGATACTTCTTCTCATTTCCCAGTTCTTATAAATGGCACCTTGGCACCCTGTGGGCCTAGCGCTGTGGAGAATTGCTGAGCATGGTGAGACTGGGTAGATCCAAAGATTAATGTATTTCTAAATTGAGAAGAAGATAATTTAATGTGTTTCTAAATAGGAAGAAGATAATTTATTACATTTTTCAAAACTGTTCCAAGGTTGATACATTGGCCCATCTGATTATTCTCACTATTAACATTTCAGAACTCTGATGATCTGGACAGCTTTCTAACACCTGTTCAAAACAATCATCTATATGCTGTCTAACCAACAATGAAACAGAGGAAACATTTCCTTCCTTTTTCAGAACAGAATATTGTCACAGCCGACAATTGTTTTAGCTTTGGGACAGCCCCATTGTAGGATTGATTTATTCTCAATTGGAAGTCAAGTTGTTTCACAAAAACGGAAATCAAGCCAGCTCTCTCTATTTTTTTGTTTGTTTGTTTATAGAGTAGAATTTGTAACTTATGTTCATGATTTTATATTTATTTCTGTTAAATGATAATTTGTTGTTTTTAGCTCATTCTATGTGTCAAGAGGTTGGAATTCTGATTTTGAATGCTGACATATTACACATCACATGCAGGTTTGTGAGGCATGTAGATGAGATCAGCATGCATGATATGTTCTCACTCAAGCCCCTGCTAAAACTATCAACCAGGCTAGCTCCAGGAGCAGAGTGCTCTGCTGTTGACTCCAGATTGATCCTTCTAGTTACATATGATCCATTCATCTACAACACAAGGATATTGCTTAATTAACTAAAAAGGCACTCAAAAGTCCTACATCTGATCATTCAGATCACAATGTACCTTTTGTTTAACAGAGAGATCATGAGAATATTTTCCAAATGACTCACTGCAGAGAAGATACTCTGTGTCTGCTGTATTCCTCTGAACCTCTAGTCTATTTAACTGTGGACAATGAAATTACCTTTATATGATTGTTGTTAGCAAATGCAAGCTGGCGGATATTAACCATCACTTCCTTCTCTAAGGGTTCATAAACCATCTGTTAAGTAATTAATTGAAGACTTTCACTAGAAATTGACATTCAGCCCATTATCAATAATTTCCATAATATACTCTATTCCCATTAAAAGATAAATATTATTTTAAAAAATCTATCAATAGAAGGTTCCTAGTTGAAAATCGGGGCAAAAGAGACTGGAGGGAAGCTGGCTGGCCTCGGCGGCAGGACAGGACCCATATTTCTTCACCATGGGGATGTGGTCCATTGGTGCGGGAGCCCTGGGGGCTGCTGCCTTGGCATTGCTGCTGGCCAACACAGACGTGTTTCTGTCCAAGCCCCAGAAAGCAGCACTGGAGTACCTGGAGGATATTGACCTGAAAACACTGGAGAACGAACCAAGGACTTTGAAAGCAAAGGAGCTATGGGAAAAAAATGGAGCTGTGATTATGGCTGTGCGGAGGCCAGGCTGTTTCCTCTGTAGAGAGGAAGTTTCGGATCTGTCCTCCCTGAAACCCAAGTTGGACGAGCTTGGCGTCCCCCTCTATGCAGTGGTAAAGGAGCACATCAAGAATGAAGTGAAGGATTTCCAGCCTTATTTCAAAGGAGAAATCTTCCTGTATGAAAAGAAAAAGTTCTATGGTCCACAAAGGCGGAAGATGATGTTTATGGGATTTATCCGTCTGGGAGTGTGGTACAACTTCTTCCGAGCCTGGAATGGAGGCTTCTCTGGAAACCTGGAAGGAGAAGGCTTTGTCCTCGGGGGAGTTTTTGTGGTGGGATCAGGAAAGCAGGGCATTCTTCTCGAACACCCAGAAAAAGAATTTGGAGACAAAGTAAACCTACTTTCTGTTCTGGAAGCTGCTAAGATGATCAAACCACAGACTTTGGCCTCAGAGAAAAAATGATTGTGTGAAACTACCCAGCTCAGGGATAACCAGCGGCATTCACCTGTGTTCATGGGATGTGTTGTTTCCACTTGTGTCCCTCAGGAGTGAGAAACCCACTTATACTCTATTCTTAGTATGGATAATGAATGTATTTTAATACTCTGTTTAGGCCCAGTAAGGCAAAATAGCCCCAAAACAAAACTGACAGAAATCTAAAGAAGTAATGAGAATTATTAAGCTAAAACCTGGAAAATATGAAACTTAAAATTGACTGCTGGGCTGGGTGTGGTGGCTCACACCTGTAATCTTAGCACTTTGAGAGGCCAAGGTGGGCGGGTCACTTGAGAACAGGAGTTCGAGACCAGCTTGGGCAATTTGGCGAAACCCTGTCTCTACTAAAAAGAAACCAGCCAGGTGTGGTGGCGTGTACCTGTAGTCCCAGCTACTCGGGAGGCTGAGGTAGGAGAATCACTTGAACCTGGGAGCTAGAGGTTGCAGTGAGCCAAGATCAGGCCACTGCACTCCAGCCTGGGTGACTGAGACTCTATCTCAAAAAAA